AACATAAACAAATGAATCTGAGAATAGCCCCACCTTGTGTATTGTAAAAATAAAATTATATATAGGACCATTAATTTCATAACGTATGGCAATGCATACTTAGTTCATTAGTATATAGTTTTTATTGCTTTTCTTTTGTATTCCCTTTATTTGTATTTTTTTTTATGATGTCCATTGTATCAAATAACAATATTAAAATACTTCGTAGAATATTAAGTCGTACGTTTTTTAGCAGAACAATGGATAATTACATTTGTACAAAGAATACTAGTAATCAAACTAGATACTTTTTATGTAACTAAATTTACGTTTCAAGCAATCAAATTCGGTTGAAATTGGATTGAATTGACATTAAATCAATCTAAAATCCATGTTGATCAAGATTTATTTGGCACACTAGACAAAATATAATCGCGTGATTTTTGCTAATACAATACAATACAATACAATACAATACAATACAATACAATACAATACAATACAATACAATACAATACAATACAATACAATACAATACAATCTGTGTTTATTCCAATAAAGGTCCCTCAGGAGAGCAATGACAAAGATACAATCATTATTCAGTTATACAAACAATACAGTACAAGCATACAATGTATAATACCGGTGTGGTAATGACAAAAACAATATAAGAAGATTTTAAATGTTGAGTTCTCTGCAATAAAAGATGTTTGCGGCAGTGTGACGCAAGGGGAAACAACCATTTTGGTAAATTGATTGCTTAGGTACAGGAGACTTCAGGGGACAGTGCTTAAAAAACTGAATATCCCCGTGTCTAAACCAGCAAAGCCAACAATAAGTGATACATAAAAAGATAAATATATACTTACGATAAAAACTGTCGTCTAATGTCTTTCCCCGTCTGTCAAATATCGTATTCGTCTCGGCAAATATATAATGTATGTTATTATTACATCTCTAATTGTTTCTCAACATTTATTATTTATTTCCCTCAGATCAGATGTTGCATTAATAGAGGTGTCACATGGCAATAATTGTAAATAACAACATTGAATAAAAGTTCATAGTGGTAACTTTATCAATATCAGAATCGATCGAGATTTTCTCTTTTAATAAGCATTTCACCAGAAAGTTTCCCACTTTTGCTATTCATAGTGTGTCACTAAATCAACCGGTGGAGCAAAATGATATTGAAAATATATGTATAATAACATATATACGAAACGCTGAACGTGAACAGAAACACGTTATTTTAAATGTTTACGTAGCTTTTGAAATAGGATCTGAACCTAAAATAATACCCGATATTCATTTCTGTCCCCAACCTTTTACAAAAAAAGTAATCTTCAATTTTATTCACATATGAATAAAACAATATAAATATCTACATAACCAACATGTATTCGAAGATTCTACATTCAGCACCACAATGTGTTAGTATACAGAAACTGTGGAAATTACAACAGGCATTTGTCTCTGCAAAAATGTTTGATTCAGGCAGGTATTATATATGATTTTTTTCAGAGACAAGTGGCTGTGGAAAATACATTTCTCTAATGTAATGTAATGTAACTCAATCAGTCGACATATCAATAAGAGTAATTTAGTCGTTAACTGCAAAATAACTGCAAAAAAAAAAAGCATCCATGTTCCAAATTAAGCGCATACTTTACTGTATTAGGATTATCATTTGAATTGAAGTTGAGTGCCCATGTTAACCATATATTTCTCTTTTTTTCTTGAAAGTTTGCTTGCAACGATGAATTCCATTTTAGATTGAAAATTTGTAAATAGCACGTAAAGAAGATATTACATAACGGTCAACGAACTCGTGATTGCGTCCGTAAAATTTACGAAGGGTTGATTTCAACTTCACTACTTAGAACTCTTGGTTTAATAGCTTCCTTTTGAGAAATGATAACTAAATTCAAGGTACAAATGATCTTTAAAATCCCCTGTTTCAAACCAGAAACACAGAGTGACATGTTCTTATTTTAGATTGTCCTTGCCAACAACCTTAATGTTTTCTTGTCATTAATTACGACAATAATCGTCATCATAGATCAGACAAATCTTAAAGTTCCCCTATTTGAATATCGAAATACTAAGGATTTTTTACCCCAGGAATAAATTACCTTAGCTGTATTTGGCAAAACCTTTCAGAATTTTGGGTCATCAGTGCTCTTCAACTCCGTACTTTATTTGGCCTTTTCAACTTTTTAGATTCAAGCGTCAACGATGAGTCTGTTGTAGACGAAACGCGCGTCTAGCGTACACAATTTTAATCCTGGTATCTATGAGTCTATTCTAAAGACAAAAACAATTTTATCTCTGGTGGAGAGTTGTCTCATTGGTTATCATACATGTCTGCATTTCCGATTATGAATTATTTGACTGAGGGTTGCTGTTTGACGGAAGCTACTAAGAAAGTCTAAATGATTCAGTAGTTGAAATCATCTAATTGCAAGGTTTATGGGCGCCATCATGACTTAATTAATCCTTGTAGACCATCTGTGTCTCTGTTCAAGGAAAGTTATGGCTAATAAGGTTTCCTATGAGATGCTTATGCGTTACATAACTTATAACATCATGATGCTTTTATTTGTGATAATCCACAGAGACAATAAAAGATGCATTATAAAAAAAAAACAGTAATTAGTTTTAGGACTTTTTCAAATTTAAAGAAATTCAATTAGATGTTTTGATTCACTTATGAACTGTAAAATTGGACAAGGCATTTTTAAGCGCACTATAATCAGCTGGTAAATGAATTCTAATTAAAAAAAAATTAACGTCCATCCTGTCAAACCCTGACAGCTAAGGATATTTATTATATACTTAGTAGTAAATACATGTAAATTGTATGTGTAATACGATCAATGGCAATTGTGCTGTATCAGCCATCCGTGATGATATCGATATCAGCATGGTTGCAAAGGCTTTATCACACCTTTAATCTGTATGACGTCACGTCATCGACATAAATCAAACCCCTAATCTGTATGACGTCACGTCACATGAAAAAACATCTACTTGAGATATATAATAAAGTGTGTATGATATGGCTTTTTCAATATCACGCACCGTATCAACCCTCGATCAATATAATCCCTCGAGCAGAGCTCTTGAAATTATATTGGTGTCTCGGGTTGATACGGATGTGATATTGAAAAAGCCATATACAATTCTCTATCTATTTCACAGTGTCCTCTCGACTTGTGCTTAAACATGAAATAGATTATATTTGAAAAGTTATTGGTTTCTATATTGGTACATGACCCGAACAATGTTTGAAAAGTTCTTATTGATATGAATCTATCAAATTTAGTTCTAAATTTTAAAAGTACAGATGTATTTCAATATACAGAAGAATTCTCATGTATGTGTTATGAGGGGCCTGATGGGTTATTTTCGTTCTTCGTGATCGGCGCATTTTCGCTATCGTGATCCGTTTTTCTACAGATTTTTTTTTTATATTTTCGTGATCCGTGATCATGATCATCGAAATTTATTTTCTGTGAATCGTGATTGACAAAAAAATCAACTCGTGAATCGTGATGAGATACCCCACCACCAGGCCCCTCTGTTATTGGTTTCTTTTATTTTTTTGTTTGTTTCCCTGTGTCTATGCAAAATTAAAAAATTGGAATTTTTGCAGTTGAGTCTAAATTACAGATTTTGTATATAAACCATTATGTAAGCAATATCGAGATAATACTTTCATGATAGAAATATCATGAATATGTTATATATATGAGATGTAACATAGACTTGTTTTCTGTTGATTTTAACACCTAATACATTATAGTTAATTAGTCATCAGCCAATGTCGTGTTTATTTGTTCAGGCTTTTTCTCACACTTAATTGTATATATAATAACATCATGATCTGAATTGTAGTTTATGGTTGGCTTATAATCCATTTGTAATTTATTGTTTACTTATCGTTCAATACTAAACATTTCGATTTATTTTCGGTTATTTCATTTCCTTGTCGTTATTTATAGTTACGGGTAGAGTATCGGTCATCTTTGGAGAGATATTAATTATTTGTCAATATACATAAATATGTCGAGCTTATACTGTAACTTGATACAGTTTAATGTCAACCCACAGAGAATCTCCGGATCACACTTGGTTAATTCCCTTATGTTTTGCCGGTTTTTTTGGTTTTTGTTTTTTGTTGTTTTTGTTTTGTTCTGAATTGTATTTTGGTGGGGTGAAAAGGGGGGCGGGTCTTGTTTTTTTTAAATAAGACATATATGTGTGTGCAAGCAAAATGGCTTAACACAACCTCATTTTGTGTCTGTACCAATTCATGTTATGTGAACCATGCGGTATTCTTCATTCTGTGTATCGTCTTTTTTTCAAATGAATCGAGTGTTGGTGGTTGGTGTGCCAAATGTTTTAGTTAATTGCCGTCATCCCTATTATATAATAGTGTACCAACACAGATACAGTAACAGGACACCAGGAAGTAGCTCATATTTCGTAATATGTGAGATCGATATCAATCTAATTAAAATATAGTTTTCTAATTTCGTTATACTCACTTATATGTACGAGCACGCGAGTTAATATAGGTCTGAACTTTAATCAGATTGGACCGATATTAATCGAAGGATGTTCACCCATTGCATTGCATCATGGGTAGGAATGTTTTTGGATTTGAAAGTCCAGTAGGTTTATGTATAATAGCCATGTTTATATTGCATACATTTTAATTTGTTTACAAAATATCTAAAATCTGAACGAAAAGCTACCGAACCTGATAGTACCGAAGCCACAATCATGTGCGATATACATAAATGTATAATACCATGTACTCTATTCCAAGAACTGTAATTAACAATAGTCACATGAAGCGACAAACTTCTAGAAGTGATTTTGTCTAAGTCATAACTTTCTGATAATTTTATTTGTCTTTTCGTATAGCTTTATATTGACAGACTCTTTCATCTTGTATTTTTGGGGTAGGCCAATAATATTGGAATTATTTTCTTTTTGGGTTGCTTGCTATCTCATTGACGTACACCCCACATCGTTTTGTATTCATAAATGATGCGGTATGTTCCAATTTTTATTATTCTCGGCTGAATTAAGCATTGATATTTTGTACAAAAACAACATTGTGGGAGTTGTATTATTCGTATAATAAAACGTCTATGACGAGGACAGAAAGCCCATATCTTGAAGTCAATCACGTGACCAGGCAAACATAAATAGACGTAGAATGGAGGTTTTGCTGGAACTCCCGTGCAGTATCTGAAATTAAAAATAAACAAAATGCAAGTGGTTGTTAAATATGTGTATAGCTGAACGAGGTTTTTTTACGTAAATATGTATTTTATTAATTTTAGTATTCAGTTGTTATTAACAGGAATGGAAAATTTTGTGTTTCCTTTATTTTGAAGTGTTGCACAAAGCAATTAGACATAAGTCTTGTATTACCTCACTTAGTTTGTAACTTTTGATTAGAAATGATTATTTAAACATTGTGTTTTATATCACCTAAATATTTTATTCAAAATATCTTACTTTTCCGAAGTTTGATGCTTAAAGCTTATGGGATATTTTGTAATTAAAATCCATATATAAGATGCCTGTGCCAATTCAATAATATGACAGTAGTTTTCCATTCGTTCCGTTGGTTGGCCATGGTATAGTCTAATGTTTGATTTTGACAGGTTTTATTGACTTCCCCCTTTTCGAATTTACCTTAAGGTGGTACCTAACACTACAGGGAGATAACTCTGTAAAAATCAGCTAAACGTTTTAATCACGTTGTTTTGTTAAGGAAATATTACGCTTCTCAATGATCAAAATTAGTGTTTGTCAAACTGCTATATAACCAACGAAATTTTTCTGATAAAGTGGTTGGTTCAAATTCTTTGAAATTTTTATATTTTTGTCAAAGGGTCAAAGTAAACATTATGTCAAAATTTTATGAAAATTAAACGAGCCAAATTAATTTTAGTCAAGGTGTTGGGTTTGTACCCCTTACCTGTTACATTCAGTCCATGTGATGTTTATACCTTTCCATTGCTTTGTACCCCTTACCTGTTACATTTAGTCTATGTGATGTTTATACCCTTCCCTTGCTTTGTACCTCGTACCTGTTACATTCAGTCTATGTGGTGTTTATACCTTTCTATTGCCTTGTACCCCTTACCTGTTACATTCAGTCTATGTGGTGTTTATACCTTTCTATTGCCTTGTACCCCTTACCTGTTACATTCAGTCCATGTGATGTTTATACCTTTCCATTGCTTTGTAACTCTTACCTGTTACATTCAGTCTATGTAATGTTTATTCCTTTCCATTGCTTTGTACCCTTACCAGTTACATTCAATACATGTGATTTTGATTCCTTTCCATTGCTTTGTACCCTTACCAGTTACATTCAATACATGTGATGTTGATTCCTTTCTATTGCTTTGTACCCTTACCTGTTACATTCAATACATGTGATGTTGATTCCTTTCTATTGCTTTGTACCCTTACCAGTTACATTCAATACATGTGATGTTGATTCCTTTCTATTGCTTTGTACCCTTACCAGTTACATTCAATACATGTGATGTTGATTCCTTTCTATTGCTTTGTACCCTTACCAGTTACATTCAATACATGTGATGTTGATTCCTTTCCATTGCTTTGTACCCCTACCTGTTACATTCAGTCCATGTGATGTTGATTCTTTTCCATTGCTTTGTACCCTTACCTGTTACATTCAGTCCATGTGATGTTGATTCCTTTCCATTGCCATAACACCCAACAGTCTCCGTAGTGTTTATCAACTAGTATATCTTCTATTTTAAAGTATTTCCGATGTATTGTACAAGTACTTAACGAATGTGGTATGTTAGCCAATTCAAACGATGCCTCCTCTGGAAATATTTTCATCCTTTTAATTAAATGGAAGATATATCAAAATGTTATATTCAATATTCTCATATAGTATGCATGCAAATTATCGATAAACATCGGGAAAACATACACTTCATTTATTGAATATTTCTGTAAAGACTATAAGTATGTTTTTCCTGAGTTTATTTCATTTTTTCCTTAATATAAAAAAAAGTCTAATATTTTCTAAGCGAAACACAAAATACCATCATTAAACAGTTATGTACACAGGAACATGCGGACAGTATGATAATATTTTTTCATGAAAATTACAGCCTTTTGCCATAAAACAAACGTTTCCTGGAAAGGTAAACATACCCTGACCAACAAGTGTCACCAATCTTGCTGCTGAAGTCGCAAGGCAGTTTGATTTCCGTTTTATTCTTATTGCTATTTTTCAACAATTAAAATGAATGAGCCCTTTTGTGTTATAATGATCCAACCTTTGAACCCGACTTTTGTAATGCGTACAAAGAATTAAGTCATAAGTCGTATTTATTTTGCAGACGTATTCGATATCAATCCACTAGTGAAGCAACAACAGTTACTGCATACCCTTCCGCAACACATGAGTTCATGTCCAGTTTAAGGTGTGGTTATGGTTGATTGATCTTTTTGGAATAGTGTTTTGAGCATACTTGTTGTCTTGTTGTCATTTTTCTTTTGGCCTTGGTATTTGTCTGTTTTTCTTTCACTTACGATCATCAATTTTCCCTTGATATTTTCTCATTTTTTAGAAGATAACATATAAATTAATTATAAAAAGATTTACACTTTTCGTTCATGAAGTCTCATTCTTCCCATGGTCTTTATTTCACGTTTGATTTCCTCGTTTAGGTTAATCTCTGCACTTATATTTCTCCTTCAATAGAAAAGTAAACATGAAAACATACTGAACTTGATATGTGTTACATACGTGTATGTGGATGCTTCATCAACCAATATGTATAACAAAAAATGCTTTGAATGCAATAATATTTAATTAAGACACACCTTACTCGATGTTTAAGATTCCAATCAAAGTGTCATATATTGTAAACTACGTCAAAATAACAAGGTCAAAAGACAAAATAGGGGTTAATCTTGCACAGAGTAACATTAAAAAGATTCTACCCCCTCACGTGACAGTGCGCTCGACACCAATCTTTATTTACAAGGGTTGTTAGTTTAGTCTGCCCACCACGAAATAGTTAATAGTGCTGAAAGTGCGTTAAACGCCAATCAATAAATCAATCAATAAAAGGTTCTGATTGAACTCCCTGATATACAGCCAACATAAGAAAAAAAATGTCCTACAAATTAAAAAAGTGACGAAAATCAAATCCAAAAAGAGCACTACCAAACAAACATGCACAAGGTTTTTTATTTGTTTGTTAAACAAATATATTCTGACTTAACCGTAGGATACAGCTGTAGTTACCGGTAGGCGACGAAAAAAAAATGTGTTATTATTGCGTGATTGAATGAATATTCGTTAAGACTTATCTAGCAGCTTCATATTAGAAGATGGTCGGATGTGTCTGACTTTTGGGTAGTTGATAATATACAGTATTTTTCAAAAGAAAAAAAGAAAAAGGCATTTTGCAAGTTCTTTAATTTCAATTTCAGATATATTGGATTATGTTCTGTCACTCAATAACCCACATTTCAATAAGTGTTACATTTCATTTATCCTAGGGGACTTGAGATTAAGGATACTACCGAAAGTAGAAAGTCTGTTTCATAAATTGATCTTTTCCCCGATATTTGCAACATAACCTCTGCTCTATCGTATGACGTTTACATATCTAAGTTGATACGTTACACTCGTGCATGTTCACACTAAACATGCTTATTTAACAGGGATATGCTTCTTACACAGAAAAACTGCTCTAACAGACTTATGAGGAAGAACAACTTGAGTCAACACTACATAAGTGATACGGATGGTAACAGTTACTAATTGGTAGACCGATACGATGTAGTTATATGTTTACGCGGTCTTAGATCTTTAGATACCAATATCAACGTCTGATCTGTTGATTGTTTCTAATTTCCGATCGTAACATTTTGACTGAGAGTGGATTCACATGGCGAGTGATGCATGCATAGTAGGAGACGCATACCCTGTGGACGCATGCAGCCTCGTTATTTTATGTTTATACTATTCCCTCAGTTTGTGTTTGTTACCTCCGTTGTTTCGCTTCTAATCGATTTACAAGGTTTGATCATCGATAAACTACTGTCGCCTGATTTAATCAGCTTATGATTATAAATACATGTCGTGATAAATTTGTATTTATTTAAAAAAAACATTTATTATTTTACACAGCATGAACATTTATTGAAAATCATTCTGAAAAGATAAATTTTTTCAGTTCTATTATTCTTCCAATATTTGTTGTCATACTTTTTTTCATAGCTCTGCGTTCAAAATTAGCAGAGGCAACGGCGTCAACCAATTATAATATCGCATTCGCCAAATTTGTTAATTGTGAGAAGATCTTACGGATACAATTATAAAACAGTTCCGAATGGCGTGATTCGTGTAAAGTTTTATTCTTTCCGGAACAGTCTTAAATTTTTACAGTGCGCAATCAAATTTTGAAAAATCTTTGCGCTTGAGTAACGAGTGCGCATATTATGAGGATACAGGTGAGTTAAATTAATACGTTTTAGCAAAATGTGCCATACGATTTTCATATATTAGTATGTGTAATGTATTAAAGCTATTTGCAGCATTATGATTAACTAGCAACGAACAAAGCATCGTAATAGATAACCTTAGCACCCCCTTGCGCCTGGGAAAAGATTTGAAAAGAAAAAAAAATGAGAGATAATTTCAAACGTCATAATAAATCTTTGATTTGATTGACTCTCTAAATGTAAAAAACTGAGTATTTAGTTATTTACAATTAGTTAATAACGACTCTTCAATTCAAACGGAAACCGTCAAAGTAGACATAAATAATATAAATTATTTTGTAAGTCGAGCTTCATCTATGTATCGAACGTTTGCATAGTGCGCATGTGCTTGATGAGAGAAGACGTTTTAAAAGAAGATAGAAATATTTCACATTTTAACAGTGTTTTGTGCATTTTATCCCATTTGTAGTATTACCGTGTAACACATTGTACAAAACACTTCAACTTACATAACTTTTGAAACTTGTATTTTAATTCTTATCACTTTTGAGTCTTTTTGATCTTGGTAACACTTCGTTCCCGGGGTCCGCCATTTTCCCCGGGCAGAAGACAACATGGTATCTTTCCAGTTTTACTTCACAAAATAAGCCTATGTCTTACGTAAAACTCATATACAATTGTTTCGAATTAAATTTCGGTGATGCTAGGAATAAAACATGCAAAAAGAAAGCTGTCCTAATCTCAGACAGCAAAGGGTAATATCTTCAACAAGAGATTTCGACGGAAAAGTTTCTGGATCTGACCATTGTTTCAAAACCTGATCTTTCACATGTTGTTACTCTATTTATCTGGTCAACACTTAAAAGAATCCCAAAGAAAAAGGAAGAGGCTGTAATCTTTTTATGAATAGGCACATGTAACTTACACAAAAAAATAAACTGAAAAATATATTGAGCTAGAAAACAACACATCACATTACAACAGCAAAATTTATCAAATTGGAAAGCTCAAATACAAGTCAGATACAAGCATACAACAGTTATCATTCTAGAGTGCACACCATATAATATTTGAGTGTACAACAAATACAAACGAGATCCAGAAATATTCCAAGGTCAGACAGCTAGATTAGAACAACAAATACAATATTTAATCGGGCAAACCAAGAATATAAATGCAGAAAAGGTTAAAGTCACAACCAAGGTAAAAAAAGCTAAAAATAGATCAAAATAACTTTCCCAAATTTCACATCTGATGTACGGCGACAAACCAAACTTACTCAAAGAAGCAAATACTACTAGTTTTTCCTGTCCTTATTTTCTAAACTGAGCAAGGTTATAGCTATTTTCTACCTATAGAATCAACAAATCCTGTCAAGAAACCTAGCTAAAGCCAATTCTATAACAATGAAGTAACAAGTACAGCACTTATAAAATCAATGTTTGTGCTTGTTCCCTTTAACAAACTGAACCAGTTATATTATCCAAATTGTTTTACATCACAAATACAAATCAGCATTAATTTCTGTGTCATTTGATCTCTTGTGAAGAGTTGTCTCATTGTCAATCATACCACATCTTCTTTTTTATATATACATAGACAAAATAGCAAGGTGGAAACTTGCTTTGTACAACTGTCTCTAAGAAAAGGCTATTGATAAACATCAAGAAAGGTTTGAGCTTGCCATGAACTTACAAGATTGTTCAAATTGTTTTACATCACAACTGCAAATCGGAATACGCATGTAAAATAACGAGAGTGGAACTTGTTTGATAAAACTGTCTTTGAAAAGGGCTGTTATTAAACATCCAAGCATGGTTTAAGCTTCCTACCCTGAACTAACAAGGTTACACAGATGATTTTACATCACAAATACAATTAGAATGAACAGACAAAATAACAACGTTGTAACTTTCTTGGTAAAATCTCTCTTAGATAAGACTTTTCATAAATATCAAGCAAGGTTGAGCTTGCTGTCGTGAACTTACAAGGCTGTCAAGATATGTTTGCATCATAATCTACACATCAGAACACACCAACAAAATAGCAACTTGCTCGATAAAACTGTCTCAAAACAGGGCTGATATTAAACATCAAGCAAGGTTTGCGCTTGCTCCCCTGAACTAACAAGGTAAAGCAGATTATTTTACATCACAAATACAAATCAGCATACATAAAAGAAATCGCAAGGTTGTAACTTGCTTTGGTAAAATTGCATCTTAGAGAAAGCTGTTAATAAATATCAAGGAAGGTTTCAGCTTGTTGATAGTTTTTCCGTTCGTTTGATGTGTTTGAGCTGGAAGGTAAATAGTTAAAGAACAAATTAAATACACAAAATCGTTTAAGAGCTGTTAAGGAAAAGTTTAATTAACAAATGGGAACGCACGAAAAAAAAAGTATATTGGCTCTATCAATTCACTTATTGTTCACGTGCTCTGTGTTGATTGTTCATCAATGTCAAGATCCGATGAAGGTTAACCTGATTGTCAATTTTAACAAGATGATCCAAGATGGTATAATCAAGGGACAAGGTCAATTTCATTAAAATGATACATTGCAGTACAATCTAGGGCAAGATCACTTTCATCAAAACGACCCAAAATGATCCCAGGTATTACACTCTAGGGCAAGGTCAATTTCATCAAAATGATCCAAAACAGTACAATTCAGGGCAAGATTAATTTCATCAAAATGATTCAAGACTGTAAAATGCAGGGCAAGGGCAATTTCACAAACATGACCCAAGATGGTATAATCTAGGAAAATTTCAACTTCAACAAGGTCATTTACATCGTTTTGTATAATCCAGGACATTCTAATCACCCCCGATCTACATGGCAACTCGGACCTACTCTCGGCTTTATGCAACATTCACTAAAACAGACCAGCTCCCCAAGCTTCTTGACGGGAAACTATTATAGATCAGAACCATCATCATTTCAACATACAAGTAACCACTATAATCATAACAAAATGACAAATGATATACATAGGTGTAATGATCAAAGAAAGGAAACTCTTAACTCAATAGCTGACATAAGTACAAAAAGTCAAGTAGAAAATCATTCGAAACACTAATAAAAAGATAAGCACAATGGAAAAAGAGAAGTTAAACTGATACCAGCAATTAAAAGGTTCACAAAACCAGAGTCTCCGATATACGAAGAACAAAAAGTCATAAACATAGAAAACAATCAAGACGAAAATACAACTTAAGTGGAGGCCAAAATATATCATGTGCAGAATAACTCCATATATGATCTCATCGATAAAAAAATATAGAAAAAAGCTACAACAAAACCAGACACAGGAATCACAGAAGTCAAACAACTTCCAGTATAACATCCAGTCAAATCAACGTACACCAGAAGAATAAAATTCGAAACAGCATTTTTTAGACAAACCAGGCCAATCAAAGGAACTACGGGACCACTATTACGACAGAGCTAACGTTAGAGATTGCCTCAATGGATATTAAGAGAATCATGAATAAAATAATGTATCTGAAAGAACTCCTTAAAGCGAATCAATAGTGTGTCTACTAGAACACTGGTGGTACGGATATGAATCAATAAAATTAACAAACATCTTGCCAGATTGTGACTATCTATAACATGCTTTGATGATACATTTTAGATATACAGTAAAGAAGGGTTAAGGCGGAGTAGTAACTATATGGATATAAGCTATTTCCCATAAGGTCAGGAAATTAGAAAAAGAAAAGAAAATAGTAGTAGTAGAAATTCAATCTGAACCAGTTAGAATAGTTTCAATTAATAACTATATGCCAACAATGGAGACAATGGAAAAAAAGAGTACAGAGAAAATTTGACAAAACTACGTCAATGATTGATAAATATGAACAAATATGGAAAGCAAAAGCCAAGCTAAACTAAAGAAAAACAGCAGAAGAATACACGCTCACAGCAAAATATTTCATATCTGCAAGTAGAAGCAGAGTTTATCTATACCGTCTCGATTTGACAACATAATGCTGACAGTTGGGATACCTAAAGTATTCAAGACAGGAATCATGACACCCGTGCCCAAATAGGCAAAGATTCCACTTTACCAACAAATTGTAGGGAAATAACAGTTATATCTGCCCTGGCAAAATATTTGAATATGCCATACTTGACAAAATGACAGAACTGAATAGCTTCAATTTGGATTTACACCAGGGCTGATGTATTTTAGAACTGTGTAAATATTGTATAGTAAATTTTCATCATTAAGTATAATGATAAATTTTAACTCCATCCAGTCCAAGACAATTTTACATGGAAATGAATAAAAAGATTTGAGTTTTAAAAATGTTTATGCTTTTATCTGTGGAATTATGTGGTTAAGCCAGATTATATAGCTGTATGCATAATGTAAATAAATAACTTGCACTAATTGGCGTAAATAGTTTTCCTTGACGGTTAATACGTTTCTGTATAGTTTTAAGAAACAAATATTTTATGAAGTAATGTATATTACTCTTTATTTTTTCTTATTTTTACATTTTTAGATAAGTACCATGAAAAATATCTTATAAACCAAAAAATAAGGGCGTTTATTACCGTATCACACTTACTTCGAGTTTACTTAGGGAAGTAGAAGAAGAAGTATATACATGTAGCCTGTGTGTATCTAAATTAAGGCAATAATAGTTCACCGATCTTCAAATCCATAAATCGACAAAGACAAATCAAGCGACCAAACAAAAATTGAGGTAAATCCACGAACTCTAAAATGAGCGAGACCGGGTGCGTCGACAGGGCAAGCGTTTCAATATAAATCAAAATTAAGAATCATAAAACTACAATATTTCTATAATGTTTTGTTGCCATAACACATATGCTTTGAAAAGATTAACGAAAAACATATGAAAATTCTGACTTATATCAAAATGTGTAATAGCGGGTGAAACGTAGAAACTAAAATTTACCTTTACGAACATGAATTTTAGCATAAATGACAAAATAATACATTTTTGATGAGTTATTAATCCTTCCTAGAGATTTTGAAACTAATACCTGCTCATACTTTAATTATTTATCTTCTATGGGTGAATCAGTATTCTCACATTGATTGAAATTTGTTGATTCAAAAACTACTTCAAAGAAAAATGAATTTTCTTTACTCGTCCACATCATTAACTTATAGGCGTGTAAAGTCCAGCAGCATATGTTACATGCATATTCAGGACGATAACATATCTATTTCATATAAGGTATTCTGGTTGTGCTGGACACGTTGTTGAATATTTAAAGTGCTTACTAAACAAATTACACTTTTTATTACCCTACCCGTACATTGAATTAAAACTCCGGGTCGACCAGCCTTTGATCTTACTCTTGAATGATGCGTGCTTAGCGGGGAAACAGCCAATGACAATTTTAAAGTTTTGTTTAACTCAGCTATGGGTCGTACACGTGACCTCACGTGTGAGGGGATAGCACTCTATCTGAAATTATATAGGCAATTAAGAAAAATGTTTCCACTATCTTAAGGTGGATAGGGGGTCTTCATTAATATCCATAGAATACTTTAATAATTTATCAAAATGTAGTTTATATCATGCTTTTTTTTCAAAAATATAATAAAATAATAAAAAGTATGGGTCACCGGGCTTTTTTGCACGCTACAGGTTGTGCAAAATTGTCAGATTTTATATAGATTATGCATGAAAAACACTATTGTGTGTGATAAAAAGAAAACTACACCATAGAATTGTAAGATAAAATATGAGAAGATAGCTCTAATAATATGCTTTCAGATAAGAAAATAAAAATGGGGTCACCGGACTCGTTTTCTTGCTACTTGATAAAATAGGTAAATTCACAACACATTTTATTATAAAAGTTACTTTATCTGAGTTATCTCCCCTTCTATCTGAGTAATCTCCCCTTATGTGGCAAAGTTTAAAAAAAATCAATCAAACAAAAATATTCTGTTTTTTGAAAAAATACAGCCGTAAATATGATAAAACACATAATTTTCTTTAGTTACACGAAAAGTCTTACACATGAATTACATACTTCTCTCGAAATTTGCACATTTCATTAAAGATATAGACCGATTGTTATCTGCTATTTCAAAATCCAAGATGGAGGAAGACACCCCAGCTACCTTAATCCATTTCAATACCTTCATAACGTTCATCTGAATGTTTTTTATCTCAAAGATATGAGATTTTCCGTCAGTAAATTAGTCTATGTATATGTAGTCTGCGTAGTCTGCATGTTGACGTTCTTTAAAACCCCTCTAAAAATACAGCATGCGTTTTAGTATTGTTTCTATTGCAAATCTACTAAAAAGCAAATTATCAAGAATTCATTAACTGTATCGTTGTTATGAGGTAGTTGTTATCTCACGTTTATATATATATTTAAAGTTCTTACCTGCTGGACATCACAAAATATCAAACAAACTTATGTTCGAACATTAACAGGAACATTTTCATTCAATCAGAGAACAGACCAGCGCTCTCGCCGTTACCATAGTTTAGCGTCTTTAAGATGAATGGCGGATTATTCGTAACTATTACCGACTGCCTTGGAAAAAACTTATAATAATTGAAAAAAATGAATATGGGAACACGCATGCTGCAACGTTTTGTAAGCTAAATACCTTGGATAGCCTTTCGCGGATTTAAACTGAAGTCCATGCAATGGTGATCTAAACTCGGGAAGGTAACAGTTGTTTACATAAGCACATGTGATGACCGTCAAACAGTGGTAATTCCATATAACCTGTAGAAAGCATTGAAACAAAAACAAACATGACAAAATGTAAATTCAACATATTTGTAAACTTTTACGATTTTTGTTTCAGTTACATAAATCAGGGAGTTGATTTTTGAATTGCTTCACATGTAGTCAGGCCGAGGCTTTTTATAGCTAATTATACGGTATGGATTCAGCTCATTGTTGAAGACCGTACGGTGACCTATAGTTGCATATATTTACGTCTTTCGGTCTGTCGTGGATAGTTGTCTGATTTGAAAAGCATACCACATTTCCTTATTTTTATATCATTCAATTCGTCCGTAGATGTAAACAAGTATAGTAATATTCCAAAACTCTTGATTCATTCACACTGTACGTAAAAAATAAACTCGAAAGACACCCGCAATGTATCAATTGATGAAACAGTTAAAGTTTCTGTTTGGACAAAATACATATTAGGTTTGTATTAAATAGATTTCAAAATTCACTACAAGTACATAATCATAATAACATAAAACATTCATGTCATACTAACTGACATTTACTACCGTTGGTATTAGACATGTCGACTCTTATAGATTAGCGAATCAAACGAGAAACAAAGAAAAACAAATTTCTGACACTAGTTTAAAATGAATATCAAAACATGCAGAATGATAAACTCGTGTTTTGATACGTTTTATTATCTTTTCGTTCATAAATAGAAAGAAGGGATATGCTGTAGAAATTATGAACACAATCCATGTAATGATCAATTCGAAGGAATAGCGTTATGTATAGCTGTTCATAATCTCAAATAAAAGTGAGGCCTTCAACAAAGATACTCAATGTTTTAAGTATTACATTTCTAGGGTTGAATGGGGTATAGAAATACAGTCATCATCCACTTTTCCGCCCAGCCGTAAAAGCCTCGCTAAAGTATGTGTCCGTTACGCTATACGGGATGTATAAATACGCAGCCACGTCCGGAGAGAATGGGGACGTTCGTAAAATCTGATGCCCCGTGTAAGGTGTCACGATCCATTCACGTTAAAGCGTCCTTGCAACAACTTTCTGATCCCTGAAGTACTAAGTACCTTTAAATATAAATGTTTGCGGAAGAGAGCTCAAAGTACTCGGACTTCTAACATAAAAATAACCTGTCCTACACTATGACATCTTATATGTTTAGTATAAGATGTTAAACACTATTTACTTGATGTTAAACTGAAAGCAGTACACATATGAGAACTCATGCGCAACACATTCTTCGAAACTGTGTCATTTCAATTCAAGCAATAACAAATTATAATAAACAAGTTAAGACAACCAGGAAAAAATAAGATAATAGAATAAACTCACCATATAAAGATACTAGGCTTAAATGTTGGTAGCCAACTACAAAAGACTCATTAGCGACGCTCGAATAAACAAAGATAAAATGCTGAATAAAAACTTACCATAAAGAATGAAACATAACTATGACACGATTTACCCAGAGTTTCTTTCATTTTTTTGATATTTAGTCCTGAAATTATAAATAAGTCCATACATCATGATACCGACATATATAAATAACAATTTTATCAAAAAAAACATCGCGTTACTCCCACTGTGACGTCACAAAACACTTTACCTGTTAACCAAAGCAAGCATAAGCGTTGCCATCTGTTTTCTGATATATGTCAAAGAACAATAGTAGGGTAAAGAATTAACATGACATTAATTCATAAATAATCAGATCATAATTCATTCAGATTATTTGTAGATGTCAATAATTTTATAAGTAGGTAGAAAATCTGGAGACAAATGACAATTTTATTATTTTAATCATTTTGTGAGATGTAGGCGATAATCGACAGTATTAAATTTGTTTTCATAAAATCTAGATAAAGTCATGGGTGTATCACAAAACACGTTTTGAGTTATAAATACACACTTACTGTATTCAATAAACCTTTACCAAATTCTTTCATAGGCACAAGTGTTTGGTTTGGAAGTTTGGCTGTACTTGCAGAGTTCTTATTAAAAACGGGATATCACAACGTTATTTTGACGGTAATGTTGTTAATAAATCCCGTCAACTTAGATACGACCGATGTAAACTAGTTGATCCTTTGAATAAACTTATTCTCAAAGGATATCAATTTAACAAGGTAGTAAAATATTCAGACCCATTGGTGGCCTTCGGCTGTTGTCTGCTCTATGGTCGGGTTGTTGTCTCTTTGACGCATTCCCCATTTCCATTCTCAATTTTATATATTGTTTTTATCAGTACTAACATTGCTTTTGTTTTCGAAATATTAAAACATAACTAAATATATATTGCTATATATGTACCGTTATGAGAACTCATGATTCTACATACGGTCTATACTATTAACTTATAATTTTGCGTTCCACAAGGTCATGCGTTTCTCAGACTTCGACGCTTTTACACTAAATACGTTGGATGTGTATTGATTGATATGTGCACACTAGTCTAGGAGAACATGCTTTATTTAATAGTTGTAATTGGCGTTCAAAGAAACGCGAAAGTTACCAAAGGAAATGTAGTATTCAAACGCATAAGTCGAAAACAAACTGACAATGACAAGACAAAAAATTGAAAAACGATCAAAAGACAAATAGTATACAAAACACAGCATAGAAAACAAAAAACAGGGAATTACGATTTACATGCATAATTTTTCATTCAAATGACTAAATGTTAATGATTTTATTTTTTGTCAGTAATCTTTTTCACAAATAGTTTTTTTTATTATTTTTTTGTTTAAATACGGGATCGATAATTAAACAAGTAAAAAAGGAAAGGCAATTTGTGAGCCTTAGACCGCTATCAGGTCTTACAAAAATTGTTGCTGATTTCTATGCTTTTGATATGAAATAAATAAATAAGATAATAATGATGTTAAAACACCTTTATTGAAAATATTTAACTGGGTACATTGTTTGTTTACAGGTGTCAAAATGTGTAGATTCTTGCAAGGGAACGCATTTCGATTTTATTTAATGAATAAAAAAGTGAATACAGCTATCGTTGGATTTTTTCCTTTTAAGGGTTGACTTTCTTATTTTAATAATTACATATGTGTCTTCAACTTTTTTTCTTCGCCTAGTGTACAAAGTCCTAATCCTATTGCAATTTCTAGTTTCTGCAAACGTTCTGTCAAAAAAAAAAACATACATGCAAATTGCAAAGACCAATCGCAATATAACTGAATATTAGCACTCAATTTGGTTTATTATCTGGGTGCATTTTTTTTTTTATACCCTCTTACTTTGTTTCCTGGATGCTTTCAAATATTGCCCTTTCGGTGCTGGTCTTATATTCATTGTTGAAGCTGTCTGTGACAACCATACAGAATGTATTTGTAAGTAAATGAAAGTCCGGTGGGGATATGGGATATCAGGACAGTGTTAGTGTTAAAGTCCGTACAAGTCACATTGCACAATCAAATGTTAATTTTCGCATTATTTATCTAAATTCAGGACACATAAGTCAGAGCTTGACATATGACTTTGAAGCATGGTCATCATTAAGGTATATTGACCTCTAGTTGTTTCTTTTTGTTGTTATTGTGTTACTGTGTAATTGACTTTTACCCAATAAATTCTTTTATATAAATTGGTTCTTTTAAAAGTTCAGGTATTCGTAAAACTTCTGAAACCAAAATATTCTTCAAAACTAAGTTTTTCCTGTAGAATATTTGGATTGATTTAATAAAAAAAATCCTTAAATTCGAGGTTTCATTCAAGAAGAGGTCTTAATGAAGTGTAACTTACCATCTCTACCATGAGTAGTTAGTCATGTAAAGATGAGCATGCTAAATCAATGAATTTTAATCATTTTTAGGTGTGCAGATTTTTGCACTTTTTAAGTAACTAAAACTATAAAAAGTATACCTCATTAACAGGACACAACAAAACCATATGAAATCCGATTTGACAACAATACCGGTTTGCATTCCCACACATTCAAGATAAGGTAGCAATACACAGATAGAAGTTTAGTTTCGCATTATGGCCATGGTGAATTTTTTAAATATGAAAGTTTTTGTACAATAAAATTGATTTTTAGATAATTGAAGAATAATATAGCCTTCTTAGTGGGTTTATATGAACATTTAGATTGTTTTTAGCATGTTTTATAGGCCATTTTTCTGTTTGACAGTCCGTATTTTCCTATCCGTACCGCCCATAGGTCCATAAATTATTGTAGTGTTTATCAACAAAGATTTTGCGCTCGATCTTTTCAATTCAATTTTATGGAAAAACGAGCAGAAATGCATATGATTTTTTTTGGACCTCTTGATAGATATATGTCTATGGATTCAGAAAAGGTATCACTGTAATTGATTGAAATTTTCCTTTGGACCAAATTTTGGAGACTTTTTTGACATGTTCACCCCCCTTTTATGCAATATTTTGTATCAAAGAAATGCAGATTGTTGCCATGGTTACACCCAAAAGAGATTATATTTCTCCATTATAACCATTAGAAATCAAATCTATGGAAGATTCTCTTTCTATAAATATACACCTGCATAACACAAATATTAAGCCTTATTTGTTAGAAAGGAAGGGAAAGAGGGTGTTTATAAATTATGAGTGTCAATTTTAAGTTTTTTTCCTAACTGTGTATTGCTACCTAAGATGCGTATTTGAGAATCCGGAATCAAACCACTTGAGGAATAAAAATAAGAAGATGTGGTACGATTGCCAATGAGACAACTAACCACAAGAGACCAAATGACACAGCAATTTATAGATTGTTCAACATTTGACTTCAACTAGCATCGGATTTCAGGCTGGTACAGGATTGGGAAAATATGACCCAACTTCGCCAACTTCGCTAACTTCGGAAACATTCTGAATACGACCCCTGTTCGCCAACTTCGCCAACTTTGGAAACATTCTGAATAGGACCCTTGTTCGCCAACTTCGTCAATAGCAACTTCGGAAACATTCTGAATAGGACCCCTGTTCGCCAACTTCGCCAGCTTCGGAAACATTCTCAATAGGACCCCTGTTCGCCAACTTCGCCAACTTCGCCAACTTTTGAAACATTCAAACAAGTATCCCTGTTCGCCAACTTCGGAAACATTCAAACAAGTACCTATGTTCGCCATCTTCGCCAACATTCAAAAAAGTTCCCCTGTTCGCCAACCTCGCGAACTTCAGTAACATTCTAACAATGATCCCAGTTTGCCAACATTCAAACAAAAACCCTGTTCGACCACAGTTTGCCAACATCTTAAACTTTCTAACATAAGTTCCCCTGTTCGCCAAGTTCACCAACAATTTAACCGCCATATATTAAAAGGTTCAAAATAGGATCCCTGTTCCAAAATTTCACTATCTTTCATTTTTTTTTAACATGAACCAATTGCCTTCTTATCTCTTTCCCATCTTTCATACTTCATAAACATTCTTAAAGCCGGTTGCCTGATTGTCGACTTCAGCTTCTTCAGTTTCATTACAAAAATACTCATATGACCATATTTTAAATAAAGTTATAGTTTTCTCAAATACAGTACTTAAAGAGTTGTCAATATAATTTGTAAATAGTCACATGAGTAAAACATGTAATTTTCATGGGCTGTAATAACTTTTCTGCTGCATTGTGTTATGTTTAATTGAAATCACACAAAAATATAAATCTGTGTTTGCCAAATTGAGTGCCAGGAAGAAGTCACTTCTCCCTAAAATTCTAATGTGTGGTAACTCCTAATACATAACATACAAATCATTATAAAAACCAATGAAAAATAAGAATTAATATAAAAATTTAAAAAAAAACCAAACAAACTGAGAGTTACTTGCCGTTCTTCTGTGGAATAGGAAAATTCATACAATTATAATACCATCTCAAAAAGAAATAAACTTACTCCAGTTGATCAATTGCAACCTGTCCAGAAACTAAATAGTGCTATAGTTTGATAATTAAACAGCCCATAAAATTATAGTTTCCAAAAAAGAAAACAAATATTTAGAAAAAAAAAGACTGAACAGCCTACTAACAGCAATATAACACTACCATTACAAAATGTAACAAGTGCTTTTAAAATTACGGGAATATAACACTGGGACCAATTTCACATCTTAAACTGTCAAATGAACAGGTTCTCATAATTTATCCACAAAAACACTATCAATTAGTATCATTGTTGACTTCTTAAATATGGTCATGTAAAATAATTCAAATCCAAAACCATGAAGTCTGAGCTGAAGTGTAAATTAAAATAAAGTATCATATGTAACTAAAAGCTTTTTTTTATATTTTTCTACCCTATATACCACTTTGCCTCATAATCTCACACCTAATTAAATGGTCATTTAAAAAGGTATAATACAAATATATATGTTCAAACTCTTTTAGGTCATTTTTTAGTAACAACAAACAAAATAACTATGTCAATTGGACCTGCTTTGATACGATAATTGCACTTGAATTTTTACCAGATAAAATTTTGTTCGCTTTGAAGATTTCGTATATCGTCAAGTTACAGGAATTC